GAAATTATCCCCTATAGGAAAGATACCTCTAAATGTACTCTCCCATTCCCTAGATACCTCTAAATATACTCTCCCATTCCCTACTAAGAACAAGCAAGTTATGGTGTGGAGGTCATGAGGATTCAGGATTCAGGGTCCTACTTGGAGGGGCGACCTAATGCTAAGTACCCCAAGTGGAGTAACCATGGTTATAAGTAGTAAGAAGTTGCCAACACTATCGTCATTTTCGGGTCCCTAATATAATACGGCCCCTCAAATTTAGGGTACCCAGAATGGGAACAGCATTTGGACAACCCTGCAAGTTGGAAACCCTAAACCCTAAACCCCTAGGTAGGTTATCCGTGACACGCCCTTCCAAGGAAGGACATAAGGGCGCAGAGTTTTATGGACTAAGCTTTTGGGGGGTTTAGGTTTATGGTTTAGGGGATCTTCAGGTTTGGGGCGTTCAGGGAGTTCGGGCCGGTACAAAGGATACTCACATGTAAACGAAAACGGAACATGAATCTCAGATTCCTAGGCCGTAGAGCCCCCCGTAAGTAGGTAGAACATGGGGTATATGGGAATCTTATTATGATATACCCAAAGCCATATTCTATCTACTTAAGGGGGACTATAAGTTTATACAGGTAGGCTTCTACATCAGATGTTTGGGGGTCTAGCGGTTCGTTTAGGGTTCAGGGTTTAGGGTTTTGGGTTTAGGTAGATGGGGTTACATGCTTCTATGCCCGAAGGAGGAACAGAAGAGTGTCCTCTGAGAACTAAACCCACCCACCCCCGCAGCCCTGTATTGAACCCCCACCCCCCAAATATGAAACAATCTCAATACAAATGATATACCACAATGGGGATATGAATTTTAGGGGGTAGGGGGCTCTAACCTTAGGGAAGGTGATTATGAAGGGGGCATTCACTCGTCTGCTTCCGTCTTCTGACGCTGGGCCCAGGAAGCCAACATACCCTAAACCCTAAACCTTAAGCCCCAATCCGCTCATACTTGTACCGCAAGGGCTCAGCAATGTGTCTCCCAGCCCCTTGTCAAATACGAGTCCCGACAGAAAAACCTCGTAGATACGGCGAACTGCTCAGGCTGCGTCCCTACACTTTCCTTCAGAAAATCCTCCCTAAATGCTAAACCATAAACCCTGGGCCCGATGTTCAAGTTTTCCTGGGTCGTACCGTGAAGGTTGTCCCCTTAATTGGCTTCCCCAATATGACCCTAAACCCTACCTGAACACCAACAGTATGTAGATGGCCTTGGGGGCTATTTTTTAAGGGGGTTTGAGCTATTATGTTGCCTACTTTGGGGATTCAGGTAAACCTTAAACGCAACCCCTTGGAGAAGCCGAGGAGTACAACCCTGGAACTTCCTACGCCCGCAACTGAGGGTTCAGGGTTTAGGGTCCTCTTGCCTCAAGTCGAGGAACCCAAAATCCGGATAAAAACAAAAGAGCTGAATCCCCACATCTCTATCTTTCCAACCCCCTTGAAGCCCATATCCAAAAACAAAAGGAGGATGTTGGAAACTATCACCTGCAGCGTTCCAACCCTATTGTAAACCGTTGATCGTCATTGGGTCCTTTTTGGGGAGGTCCCAAACTCCCTCAACTCCCTATACCCGAATGAAGCTCCTCAAGCCCTAGAAGCCCAATCCAACAATACTAAAAACAAACAACACAAATCACTTCAAGCCCTCAATCCGACAGCCTTAAAAACCAAACCCTCAACGTAAAGACCCTAAAGCCTAAGCTCTAAACCCCAAGCCACCTTTACTTATACCTTGGGTCAATCCCCCTCCTAGTAATGGGTAGCACCAGCACACGCACCAAAAAAGCACCAGAAAATAAGGCCAGTTGGGGGAAAGTGTGATTCATGGGGCCACCAAAATAAGGCCAGTGAGTAGTAATGTGTGATTCGTGGGGCCACCAAAGCGCGGCCAGTGGGTGGTAATGTGTGATTC